CTGAAGAGGAAAATTTCATCTGCAACAGCCACAGCCACACCCACTTACCCTTCTTAGAAAAAAAAAAAAAACAAACACTAATCTTTCTTCAAGGTAAATAAATGAATCATACTACTGAAGAGGAAAATTTCATCTGCAACACCCACACCCACACCTACTATTTACCCTTCTTAGAAAAAAAAAAACAAACACTAATCTTTCTTCAAGGTAAATAAATGAATCATACTACTGAAAAGGAAAATTTCATCTGCAACACCCACACCCACACCTACTATTTACCCTTCTTAAAAGAAAAACAAATACATTAAGTGAATATCATTTATTACATTGAACAAAAGAACTAGTAAAATCTGTATACATATATATTTTTTTTAAAATGGAGGGTTAAGATTGTTTAAAATGAAGATACACATCAACCTTGATATACTTTCAAGTACCGTAACATGAATAGTTTTCTATATAAACGAGTAAAATTAGTCCATTTCACACTAAGAAAAAAGAAGTGAAAAATCTTGAGAAAGAAAAAGAATTATGGCGGTCGTCCACATCAAAATATATCTTCTTCTTCTTCTCCTCGCTCTTCTCATTATGACGGTAAGAATTATGGATAACAAATGGTGCTGTCAGCGTGCTTAGACTATGGATCATCTACCTTTCTTCAATTTGTTGTTTTTTTTTTTCTTTTCTTTTAATTAAAAATGTCGTACTACATTTCGCATTAGTTTCTAATGTTTAGTGTGTTTCCAGCCTATTTGAAGAAAGGTAGGTATTAATTAAAATCCATGATGTATTAGTTTGAATTAATGTTTGTGATAATGGCTTCATCATCTCTTCTTTTACCTCTAATTATTTTTGTCTGATGGATCAATGGCAAAGAAAGATGCTTCAGTCACAACATCAAACTAACAAGAACGTCAAACTACTATAACCAAATTGTAACAGCAAGAAACTTTACAAATCACTTGTGTTTCGCAAAAAAATGAAATTTTGAAACAAGAGCAACCAGTGATAAATTCAACTATTTCTCTCTAAATTTGCAAGAAAATAATATTGAAACCGTAAGAAAAATACCTCGTGCTTCTTTCGGAGAGTAGCTCACCGCGAGAGGAAATCCATTGCTGCACCTATCGGCTAAACAGAAAACTTTGTAGGGTTTCGGAATTTATATACTCCGGTTAGATGGGTGCCCGCGAGCGTTTAATAAAACGCGCGTTTTGACCCTGGGCTGGCAAGGGAAGTGGGCTCGGACGAAACCGGGCTTGGGATCCGACAACATAATCAAAACTCGTTTGACAAATACAATTACAATTACAATTCTCAAGTATGATTGTTCAAATTACAATGAAAATTAAAAATTGAAAGTGAAAAAAGAATTGGGTTTAATTTGGATCTGAAGATGGATTTGGGTTTTTACTTTTGGGATCTTGTAATTTTGATTGTCTCATTTTTTGGGAACTTAAATTCTTAGTTATCTTATTCATTATTCTACCACACTAATAATATATTATGTATCACTTGCACCAGAGTAGTATAGAACCCCTCCATCATTGATTTTCAAAATGTAAGCTAATTTGTTCGCCTGGTTGTTTAGGAAGGAAGAAATTGTTGCTCAAATCAGTCAATGGTGAGTAGAATAGAGGAGGAGGAGGAGGAGGAGG